AACCCTCAAGGGAGCCGGTCGCGTCGGGACCGCTTTGGCAAGGGCTCGGAGGCAGAAAAGAACCCAGCCAGTGCCAGGTGCGTCCTTCCCCTCCTCCCTTTCCCTGGCCGTGCAGGGTGCAGCAGGGGCTTGGCTGGAGACCCCCACGTGTGCTTTGCTCAGGGGACACGGACAGACCGAGGGGTCTCTCCTGGGACGGGCTGTCCGGGAGCTTTCCCACCCCTGGGGCGGCTGGCAGCCGGCCACCGCAGCGCATCCGCCGGGGCCGGGAGCGGGAGGCTGCCGGCTCTGCAAAAGCCATTTGCAGCCGCCCTGTGCATTCGGGTGCCTGAGAAACTTCCCCGGCTCTGCTCGCACGGGGGAGGCTCTGCCCGGAGCGTGTGCTGCAGCCCTGGGACGTGCTGCCCACGGCGTCCCACCGAGGCTGGGCCTCATCCCGCTGCCAGGCCGCAGCCCGCTTTGCCCCGCACTGCTGGGGACACTGGGGAGGGATCCCGAGGCAGAAGTCCCTCGCGGCACAGCGGCAGGTTTGCAGGTGCAGCGCTGCTGCACGCTGCCAGGGAGGGGACATGGGACAGCCCCCACCCCCAGGGACCCTGCTGCCCTCCGGTGCTGCGTGAAGCCTCCCCGTGGGAGGGTGGCTGTGGGGCAAGACAAACCCGGTGGGTTTGAGGCAGGGCAGAATGCCGGGCCGAGCACTGCATCCCTCTGGGCACCCTTTATTTTGCACCTGGTGCCCAGCCTTCACGCTGGGCTGAGCTTGCCTGGGAAAGCGTGAACCCGTGGGCGGAGAGCTGCTGAAATGCAGCGCATCAGCACGGGCACAGCCTGGTGCGGGGAAGCGCCGTCTCCTTGCGGTCCTGGGCCTCCCGGATTTCCCAGCTTGCTGTTATTTTATCCGGGTGAACACACTGGTGCCAATCCTGCAGAAAACCCCAGGTCACTGTGTTTCCTCCAGCCAGGGTCACCTATGCTGTGGTGGAGGGTACAGAGAGGAAACCCGAAACCCAAGGGGGGGGCACGCTGTTCCCTGCTGCCTTGCCGGGTGCTGAGTGGAATGCCCTGGGCTCCAACACCCCGTGGAGGAGGCTGCACCGTGTGCTGGTGTGGTGTCCTGCTCTCTCCCTGCTGGGCAGAGCGCAAGGGGAGTCCCTGGGGGGCCCCGCTGGGGCCAGACCCTGTGCTGGGGTCACCCACCCTGGGGCACACCTGGGGTCCAGGGGCTGGCCTGGTGACAGGGGTGCTCCTTAGCCCCTGCTCATCACCACTGACAAACCCATTTCACCCTCCCGGTCCTGCCACGCCTCATCCTGTGGGATTCCTCCCTTCTCCAGGCCGGGGTGCAGGCGAGTTCGGCACAGCAGTGGCCAGGACCGGGTGCTCACCGGGTGGCTTTCCAGTCCTCGGCGGGGCTGTCAGCTGCCTCTCGCAGGAGCCACAGGGCATGCAGGGTCTCCTCGCCCTTGGTGCCCACGTAGCACTGGCCCAGGAAGGCAGTCGTCCGGGCCGCCTCTGAGTCTGGAAGGGTCCGAGGGGGCATGAGTAGGGTGGCGAGGCACAAAGCCACCCTCCTGCGTCCCGCTGGCAGCCCCGCTGCAGGGTGATGGCCCCCTCCTGCCTACCTCGGAGCTGCCATCGCACGGTGAAGGAGAAGATGGGCTGTGAGACGAGCCCTGCGTCCTGCTGGGACCCCTCCAGTGGCGAGGTGAGGATTTCGGAGTCACCGGTGGCAGGCCCCGGCAGGTAGGAACCGGAGAAGCTGCCGTCCTTGCCGAGGACGGACACGACCATCCGGCAGCCGCTGTTGCTCCGCCACGACCCGGAGAGGAGGCACTGCAAGGCCAGCGCCGTGGCTTGGGGTGCCCGGCCGGGCACGGAGGGCGTCCTGCTCCCACCCCACCACCCTGGCCCTGCCCAGGGATGCCTGCAGTGCTGGGGATGCGCCACGGACCCTGCGTAAAGCTGCTGCGACCGGCATCGCCACCTCCTCATGAGCGTCCCGCAGCACTGATTGCCCTCAGCCCAGCCGCTGCTCTGGGCTGTTTGCTGCTGCCACCCGGGGGAGAGCAGGTCCCCCTCTGCGAAAGCAGACGGTGTGTTGCTTTCCCTGCACGTGTGGTGGGAAATGGGGTTTCTCTGGGGCATGGCTCTGTTCGCCTGTCGCTGGAAGGCTTCCGCAGCAAGGAGCATCCTTGCAGGCGCGGTGCCTCCCTCCCAGCTTCTCCACAGCTTCCCTCGGCGCTGCGTAGTGCTGGTCCCACCAGCTCCGTCAGCCCGGCCCCAGCTCCCTGCTGAGCACCACAGCCCCAGCCGCAGCCTTTGGGTTCTAGCAGGGTGCCAGCACCACGTCCCCATCGCCACCCGTCCCTGTACCTTCCTCTCCGCAGGGGTGACACACGCTGCCAGGGCCAGGGCAAGCGCCAGGGCAAAGGCACCGCTCCCCATGGCCACGGGGCTGCGAAGCGCCCTGCACGGCCCGCTGCCGACCCCGTGCCCCAGCCCCCTTTATAGGGCTGTAACCGGAGCCCCACGGGCACCGGGCTGGCACCCAGGCAGGTGGCCAGGTGCCCGGGACAGGCGAGGCGAGGCGAGGAGGTCTGGGTGACCTGGGCAGTGCCGGAGAAGGAACGCGGGGACGAGCACGGCTGTGGAGAGGGGCGGGGGCACGGGCTTTTTTTAATGCCCTTATGGCAGCCTGGAAAGCATCAGCTGCCTTCCTTGGGAATCCATCTCCTGTGCACGCAGGCTGGATTATTACCTGTTCGAACATTTAACCGCCGCCTGATTTGCTGGTGCCGCTGCCCGACCGGGGTGTCAGGGCATCCCCAGCAGCGGCTGCAGCGCTGCACGGGAGGGAAGGCTCGCTCTGCCTTCTGCTTTAGCAGCAATAACATTTCCCCAGCATCTTCAGGATATCAGTTGCTAGTTTTGCTGCTTTTGCTTTTACAAGAGTTAGAGGAAGAAGTAACCACAGAGGGGCACTGGAGTCCAAGCAAGTGTGATTGCTCAACGCAACCAGCGTGCTACCCAGGCTTGTATTTGCACCTCTTCCTCGTATTTGCTGCTCTTAGGGGCTTTGGATGTACAAAACTCAGCCTGCAGTGTCTCTGCCTTCCTGAACTGAGCGGCTTCTCTGCTCGCTGCAGTGCCTGGAGCAGGCACAGGGCTGAGGGCAACTGAAAATTAAGGTGGGATTTAGCTGCGTGAACGCTGAACTTTTTACTTCATTACAACCCTTTTCCTTACAGCACCCCAGTGTGGGGCACAAGATTCGGCAGTGACCTTGGTTTCTACAGGAGCAGTTACAAGCAAGAGCCTTTCTGCATACCTTTGCTTGGCAGTAACTGTAAACATCAAGCGCTGCCACTTCTAGAGGCAGACACTGTCTGGAAAAACACGCCGTTAACTTCAGAAAGTGCAGTCACTTAGAAGGGACTTAGCTGAGAAGTAAAATCACTGAATGGAGAATTGGTTTGGTTCTAGCTCAAACCGGACAGATGGGATGGGATGGGATGGGATGGGATGGGATGGGATGGGATGGGATGGGATGGGATGGGATGGGATGGGATGGGATAGGATGGAGGCTTTAACTGTGTACGTTTCACTTTAGGTGCCATCCAGGGCAAAGGAAGCACTTTCCTGACATCTCACATCTACCGGTACCTCTATCACCCAGCTTGATGGAGTCCTGGGACTGGAAAGGCATCTGGTGGGGACGGGTATGAAGGCGCTGCAAGGAAGGTGGCTGGATTCGGGATGCTGATGCCACCTCGGCCACCGTCAGGCAGGTGGGGATTGGTGGCGCAAGGTGGATGTTCAGGTTAGGGTGAGGTGGGAAATGAGCCCAGGGAGCTGGATGGGGGCAACCAGGGAGGGATCCGGATGTTCCTGAGCAGGGGCAGTGGTGAGCCCTCGTCTGAGCTGCCTCAGAAGGGGAGCGAGGGCAGTTTTTAATAAAAGATGACCACAGCTGACACGATTACAAATTTTATTTTTATGTGAGGGGCTGGTTTTGCTTGCCTTGGGCGGCCCAGGCTGCAGCCGGAGCATGCCATCACGGGGCAGGTGGAGACGCATCCTCACAGGATGGGGACAAGCTCGGCAGGATCTTTCCTTCTGGGGGGCGTTTGCGCGTGAAGACGTTTCTGCCCACCCTGTGGGAAGCAGAGAGTTCCTGTGGGTCGACCCGCAGACACCACCTGCTCAGGCCTGCCAGTGCCGGCAGGTGACAGGAGTGTCCCTGCATGCCCCCCAGCTTGCCTCGAGCAGCTGCTGGATGCCCCTGGCCAGGGCAAGCCCCTTGCCAGAAGGCACTCACATCCCTACTGCAAACCCAAGCTGGGGAGCTCCCAGGGGTGTCCCCTTGCCCAGGGGGATGCTTGTCCTCAGGGGTCCTGGGGACAGTCCCTCTGGGGGGCCGCTCCCCCACACATCCCCGCACTACCTCGTGGCTTTCCAGTCCTCCTTGAGGGACCCGACGGCTTCACGCAGCAGCCACATGGTGGTCAACATCTCCTTCCCACCCGCGTCCACGAAGCATTGCCCCGCAAAGGCGGTGGTGGCATCTGGGGGAAGCACTTGTTGGGGGGTCGATGGGGACAGCACCCACACTTGCTGGCTGCTTCCCCCTCCCCAGGGTCCTCCCAGCTGCCGTGATCCCTGCTGCGATGGCCGCACACCCCCCCAACCCATGCTGGGGGGGCCTGCCCTTCCCCAGCGGCTCCTTCGGGCAAGGCAGGCTCTGCAGCACCACGTCCTCCCTGCCCTGACGGGGTCCAGACCCACCACGGTCAGCCCTGGGCTGCCGGGCAGGGATGGGTGCAAAGATGCTGGGTGAGGAGGGGCTGCCCTGTGAGAGCCCAGCGGTGCCCGTTAGCCCCACGCTGGGCAGGCGCCGCTGCCTCCCTCTGCTTAGCTGCACCAAAGCATCACCCAGCAGACTTCCCAGCAGAGGAAAAAACCTGCCGGCCGCCGGCATGGCTCCCGGTGCCCCCACGGTGCCATCCCCAGGTTTCCCAGCACTTACTGGAGAACTTGTCCCAGCGCACAGTGAAGGCGAAGGTGGGCCAGCCCCCCTCACTGGGCTGCTGCTGGGCACCCTTCAAGGGGGAGGCGCGGGCACAGCCACCGGCGAGGGTGACCCGGGTGAGGTATTTCCCCTGGAAGGCGCCGTCGTCCCTCACTGCCGAAATCTCCATCAGCGAGTCCTGCTCATTCCTCCACAGCCCGCTGAGCTGGCACTGAAGGGACATGGCCACAGGCCCTCTGCCCCTGTGTGTGGCACAGAGCGAGACCCCACCCCTCCCACTGCCCTGCAGCTGGAGCCGCAAGCCTTGCTGTGAGTGGAACTGCAGGGCACGGCTGTCCCTGCCCCCAGCTTGGGGAAATGCTCCCCCGGGCGCTGCTGGCATGACCCAGCCTGTCAGCACGCGTGGTACACCCAGGCACAGACCCCATGGGAGGGGATGCCCCGTGCATGGTGCCCTCATGCACACCCCATGAAGGTGCCCCTGAGCACAGACCTCATGGGAAGCGGTGTCCCGCGCGTGTTGCCCCAGACACGTATCCCACGGGAGGGGGTACCCCATGCATGGTGCTCCTGGGCACAGACCCTTTGGGAGGAAATGCCCTGTGCATGGTGCCCCTGTGGGAGCAAAGGTGGTACCAGGTGGCTGGAGGTGACCCAGAGGTAGCCTGCCCATTGCCTGGACTAGGTGCTTGCAAAGTTCTGCTTGTCCCAGCCTAAGAAAGCGTTTAAGAGAGAACCCCTGGCTGCCCAGATTGCATCCCAGTGCCATGTCTGCTGTGTCCCCATCGTCACCCGTCCCCATACCTTCCTTTCCACAGGGGTGACACACGCTGCCAGGGCCAGGGTGAGGACCAGGGCAAAGGCACCGCTCCCCATGGCTGCAGGGCAGCGAAGCTCCCGGCACGGCTCCCTCCTCTCCCTACACCCTGGCCCCATTTATAGGGCTGTAACTGGAGCCCTGTGGGCACCGGGCTGGCAGCCACGGGGCGCGTGGCTGGGTGGCAGGGTGCCCGGGACAGGCGAGGCGAGGAGGTCTGCGTGACCTGGGCAGCGCTGGAGGAACGCGGGGAAGAGCACGGCTGCGGAGAGAGGTGGGGGTGTAGGGATGGTTTGCACATCCACTAACCAAGAGGCTCTGCCAGCCCATTCCTTGCTCTGTGACAGAGCCCTTGGACTGGGCACAGCCTGGCACTGTCCCACTGCCACCGTCCCAGTGCTGACATCCCAAGACGGTGCTGCAGCAAGCGCAGCCCAACCAGTTCTTCTCCGCTGCACTGAAGGGTGGTGTGTCTGCCCACAGGCGTTCTTCCTCGTGGCCCTCCCTCCTGCATTACAAATTTCTGCTGCTGTTTCTAAGCTGTTTTTTCTCTTGGCTGTGATGGGCTTTCCCTGGGTCTGGGAGCTGTGACGGTCACTGCAGCAGGAGCTCTGGGGCACCGATGAACAGATCTCTCTTGTAAGCGCAGAAGGGCTTTTCCGGAAGATATATAGATATTAAAATTTTCTTGTCCCTGTGGGAGGGGATGCCCATGCACAGACCCCAGGAGAGGCGATGCTGCTTGCATGGTGCTTTGAGGCTGGGCAGGGCACAGCGCCACAGCAGAGCCCTGTCTGAGCCCTCCCAAGGGGTCCCTAATGGTATGAGACTGTACGGAGGATGCGCAGGTGGCCAGGGGTCCTTGGTTTGCCCTGTTCTAGCACCGGGACAAGGCACAGCCACCTCCTCCACGACATCTCTCCGACCAGGTGAACATGTCGCTGTCGACACTGCAGGGGAAGACAGAGCCGGCACCTGGCTGCATCCAGGTCCGGAGGGACCTCTCCGGCCCCTGCATCTGCTTTGAGAATCCTCCAGAGACACATCCTCCCTGGGCTTGAAGACACCAGGAGGGCCACTCTCCTCCTCCCTGGGGAGCAGGATCCAGCAACGCTCCTGTGAAAATGGCACTTTGTTTTTAATTAAAAAATGACAGTAGCTGCCTTCAGCTTCCGTCCCAGGGACTTGCTCCAGAAGCCCTTGGGGTCCCAGTGCTGCTCTCCCTTGCTTGCTGCCCAGCTGGACCCCAGCACCAGCACCCACCCTCAGGGTGCAGCCCTGCGGAGAAAGGCTGGGCTTGTAAGGTTCAACTTAAGCAAAGTAAAGCAACGGGTTTATCATGCCCTGGATGGAGCAAGGACGAG